TATCTCAAACTTCAGACTATTTTCCGTCTTAGCAAAACTATTAGACTACTTCTCATCCCACAAAGCCGTGATGTGCATTTCCAATTGGTCATGGATAAAAAATGATTTTTCAGGTAAATAAGAGCTCAGGTTTAGTGAAAATTTTGTTGTTAGATTAGCATGATAGTCAAACTGAAAGTAGAATCTTAAAAAGTGGCTGTTAATTTGACAGGAATAATAACTCCTTAACTGTATCTTCTGTTCATGGGTTTTGAAGTTGTTATAGACATGTATTGTGCTGATAGGTGTTCAGCTAAGTTATATTTTATTTTCTGCATTTTTAACACCCTTGAGAATCTGTGCAGAATGAATATAAACGTGGGATTAGTAGTTGGAACTTCAACCTTGATGATATGAAGGCTCAGGCTTCCTTGTTATTCAATTCTGTTTAGCCTTCTATTTTTTCAATTTTGTGTGACTGCTGCAAATATTTGGTGGACAGTGATTATATGTTATCTTCTCTCGTTTTCAGATCCAGGATGAAGATATTATAGCAGACGAAGATATGCATGGCAAACAACTTCAGCATCAGTTATCTTCGTCCAAACAGTTATCACAGCTTCAACGTCAGTCGTCTTTTACGAATCAATATTCAGAATTTGTAGATTCTATACGTTCATACCCTTTTTGTGGTTCTATATAAAGGCAGATAGGTGTTCGATCTTTCTCTGGAGCCTAACAATATAATTCTTAACAGGATGATAATAGTCAGCCTGCTTCGCTCTCATCAGTGTACTCCCCTAATAACATGTATGCATATCTTATTTTCATGTTTGCCCATATACTTTACATCATGTTTTTAACGCATGATTCTGATAACTATATTTTTACTGTTTTCAATAAATATTCAGTAGTGTTTACATTTTCGATACTAAAAAAACCAGTTGACTTGGGATATGCTAAGCAAACTTATTATTTTGTTCAAGGACTGATCATGAAAAATCTGCTGATCAAGCAAGCATTGCCAGTTCGACCAGCAAGCAAAAAATATCCCATAATTTGTCTCCTGGCAGCAGGAATCACATTGAAAATAATTTGCCAGGAAACCAGAATCAGATATTACTGGAAAATTATCAGAGGGAACACCTACATATCCCCATCAGAGGTATAATGTTTGATTTACACAATCACCTGAATCCTTAAATATTCTGTTCTTTGTGCAATTACAGAATTCCTTCTCTTCCATTCGTTTTTAAGTTTGTTAATGTGCATTTGTCCAATTGGAAACTGATGATTTCAGACCAAACATTATTCTAATAAAAAGTCAGGCGTGCTAGTAGTGATCCCTCTGAACATTGTTAGTTTTACTTTTATGAGAATCATAAATTTTGATGTACTTTTTTTGTATGAAATTATGACTCAATCTGTCTCCTCGTTTAAAATTTCGCTTGGTTTGTCTCGATTTAAATATAGACTTCATCTTTCTCTTCTCAGGGATATATGAGTAAGACTAACCAACTTGAATTCCATTGGAAATTCTTGGGGATGAAAATGTGAATAGAAGTCTATTTTATACATCTACGAAGCATGGGCAATCCTACGAGGATGGCGTATCCATCTCCCACACCTGCTCTGTAACACTCTAAGTTGTGTCCAACACACAACATGGCATGTCCTATTTCTTATATATGTTTTAAATTTTCGACATTCGAGGGACACTTTAGGCATATTACACAGGCACGTGTCCAACATGTCAAGTAGCATGCCCTGTATTGTTGATATTCTTTCTAGTTTTAACATGCGAGAAACATGCCCTTGACACATCAAAGACAAGGAAAGTCCTATTTTGTGAATCAGAATATAAAATTGAAGATTTTTTTTTTATTAATATTAGAACATTTGTCTAAAAAAGTGATTGTAATGTGAGCAGTGTTCTATGAACTTCATGTCGATTCTTTTACATCTACTACATATGCATTTTTCTTTCCCTAGCAATAGTAATATATAGTTTAGATAAAGTTATTTTAATGTAACAGACATTTACTCGTTTGATTTAAGATTTCGCCAAGAATAACCAAAACTAGAAAAAATATTTTGATTTATTGAAAATTAATTAAATAAAGATATAATATATAAATGTACTATTTTTAAGAATTTAATTTGACGTGTCCTCGACCAGTCTGTGTCCTACCTTTATGGAAAATCACACTTCGGCATGGCGTGCATTTTAGCCATACATGGATTTGATCCGAGGATTTTTGGTCTCATGACATGGTTTCTCAGCGAAATTCTATTTAGCTGTGAAGTTACTTTGCTAGACAAGTGCTTTGCCTTTATTATATATTGTCACTGGACTATTCTAGTGATTGTGTTTTGATAGGTACCTGGGCTAGGCATTCCTTGTAGATTAATGAGGTGTTTGATGGCCATTATTTGCTAAAAAAAAGCTTTAAATAGTGAATTTTTGGAGAATGTGTGGTTCAAAAGTAAGGAATTTTTTTTTTGTTTACGTGCAGAATATTTTATCGTGTGATATTGTGATTGAAAATGAGTATGTAGAGAAAATAGTTTTTGGATAATGGTTGTCAAACAGGGGCTAAATGTCCTCTTCATCAACAAAGACAAACACTCAACATTTACCAAATCAGGAAGACAGACAGACACTTCATGAACTAAGAAAAAGAAATGTGCTTCAAAATTTTCAAATTGAAGTTTAGTACTTGAGAATGTTGCTTTATTATGCACGCTTTAGATAATACTACAAGAAAATCCGGGTAGAAATACAGGTAGAAAGTCTGTTCATAAAAAAGGGTAGGTCTGATGGAATATTTTTATAATAAGAACTTATCATATAGATGTTATAGGTATTGGGACCGTATTGAAAATTCTTCTATCGTAATCTCTTCCCATTTTTCCTTTTTGTTTTCGTTTTCTTCCCTTTGGAGTGACAAAATCATCATGGCATTATTTGAAATGTAATGGTCCATAATGTTCTTCTTCCTTGCATTTCATGATCACGTGTCATTTAATTCTTAAATATGAACACATACAACTATCTGTAGAGATTGAAAATGAAAATTGTACCATGCAACCTTTTCACTTTTCTGTTGTTTTTCTTGTATGGCATAATCCTTATGGTGTTATAGCCCTTAATTTGATGTTCACGAAGATTTATTTCATGCCTTATTTAAAGAACTGGTTATCCCAGTTGAAGTTGGTGACTTCACATGGATATTTTCCAGCACTTTCTCATTGAAAAACAAAGTTGAAGCTTTCTAGATGTTGAGAGGGCTATAATTCTTCTCCTTCTCTCTTCTAATCTTCTTTATCTAGGCATACCTTTTGCATTTAAGGGCTCACTTGAATAAGGCCAGCTTAAATAATACTACCTAGGTGTCTAGCCTTTTTATGAAACCACTTCCCTCTATAGGAAGCCCACTTTCGTACCAAAGGGTTGAGATTTCCCTTCTGATCCTAGTTCTTGGTACTGAGAAGAGTCTCTATAACCTATATGGTAAGGATACCATTATTTATAGTTAGTTTTTTGCTCATTTAGCACTTCCTATTGTTCACAATACTTTTTCTGTAGTGTACAAAATAGTAGCTGATCAAAAAAGATTTGCACTGATTTCTATTTTTAGTTTAATATATTAGTTTAAGGGATTGGTGCAGTACAATAATTTCATGATTTTTTATATTTGCCAATTAGTATTCTGAAAGGAGACATGTTACAACATACCATTTAGAATCCACCAATAGTTGCAGTTAAAATTACTAATTCGTGCACCTACTGGGTTCTAAAGTTCTGTTTTGAGTTTTTTATTTACAAAGCTTATATACAATGTATGCCATATTTTCCTTAACAAGTTTCAGTTATTTTCTTTTTATTATTTAGTGATACACTCCAAAGTGAACCCCCAAATTCACTCAGTTGCAATGGATCTTCCGTTTCTCAAACAGTAGATGATGCGCAATCGGAAATAATTTCAAAAGGTTCAAGAGCAACAGACAAGTCTGCTTTTATCATTTTGAACTCTTGGATTTGAAGAACATTAAATTTGGTGTCAGATTCTTATATTACATGTCTGCACATTTATGACGCAGCAAATAGTGATGAACTTCACGAGAAGGCAAAGTGTCCAGTTATTCAACAAAAAGGACGTTTCAAGGTTACATCTGAAAACGTTGAAGTAGAAAAGGTTATTATTTAGGTCTTAATGTCAGTAATCTTGTTTATAATTGGTTTGGACTAATTATTTCATTCTTGTAGGTGGTTCCAGCTCCATTGCTACACAAAAGCCATAGTGTACAGGTTTGCATTTGAAAGGATATTGGGAAAACTGACTCTATTATTCTTCCTGTGAAGAACGTATTTTAAAAGGGAGATTTATAGAGGAATGATACATAGAGACCTAATTAAACTAAGAAACTACTTACACTGCATAACTATAGTCTATAGCTTACATTCCTCCTACTTTTGAGGATCCAGTTCAGTGGGAAAATGAATCCTCATAAATGACTTCTTATATTCAATCTCAACCAGAGACTTTTTTGTTTTTTATTTCTTTAGTGTTGAAATTCAAATTTCTATGTAGCATTTAACTTTATTACCAGTTATATTGATCAACAAAAAGTACAAAAACCCTCGAGAAAACAAAGAAATGTATTTATATTATATCCGTTTACTAGCAGATGATTTCTAAGTGATATCTTGCTTCAATATGGTTGTGATTTTGAAATTCTGCCACTTGTTTTTTGGAACCTTGAGATAATTAGAAGCACGTGCATTAAGACATCTTCACATTAAAAATTTAGTACTAGTTGAGTTTATGACTTGTTAAATCTTCTCTCAACACAATTTCCACCACATTTATTGTTTTCAATTAGAACATCTTATGCAAGCATTGTGGGCTATGTAGGAGACATCTCAGCATCCTGCTAATCCTCCACCTTTCCACCCGATGCTACACCATCAAATCCTTTTGGTGTAGCTCTTTTTCCTGCGTTGCAGTCTGTTTTGCATGCAAACATTCTTCGAAGGGTATGGGCTAGTCACAAAGTTGCAAATCTCTGGATGTGGCTCTACAGGCGTGAGCAATCAGTGTATCTCGAGATTTTTCATTTACTTCACCTTTTTGTTCTCACCCAAGTGTTTAGCCTTTTCTGCAGATGTGGGATACATGTCGATGAACCCTGGTGTGGAGGAGAAATCTTTGGTATGTATTGTCATAAGGTTGCCATTAAGTAGATGAATTTTGTTAAAACATATTTTAAATAAATATATTTTCCTCTCTAATGGCTTAAACTTTTACATGAGGTGAGTCGAGTTCATGTCTCACAGCTACCAAATTATTAATATTGTGCATGTGTTTTGGACATGAAAAAATGAAATCAACATGCCTAGAAATAAAGAAAAAAAATCAAAAAAGAATAAAATTTGTCTCTTCTTAATTACTTAATTTTTTAAATGAGATAATTTAACAAATATTATCTACATTTGTTTACCGTTGCAATGTCAACTTTTGCGGTAAGTACACGACTTTCTCCTATCTTGCCGTTTCGCTTAGAGTTATTCACGTGAAGACGTTAGCTTAAATACTGTCTAGTGGAGTTGGGCCCAACATGATTTTTAATTCGTGTCCTCAGTTATTAGAACTCAAGACCTGTCCTTTTAAAGAGACTTAAGTTTAATGTTGGTGTCGATTGGGCAATTAGGGCACAACCTCCGGTGGACGATATGTAAGCTAATGTCTCCAAGTGGATAGCCCCTGAGAGAATGGTCAAGATTGGTAAAGTCCAAGGTCATTATATGTACCTTCAGATATTTACCTCATGATAACACTTGTGTAGATTTGTTCACTGGGAATTATGTCCGTTAACATTTTTTTGTAGTTTGAATTACTCTTGCACGACTCACTTAAGAATTATTCTTGAGTCAACATTCGATATCAAATAATTCACCTTCAAACGTTAAATTTTGCATTGTTTGAGTTCCTTTTTCCTTCAGATTTTCCTGTAGATCCTGATCTTCTAAACCTGAAATGTCCTATATGTTTCATGAAATATGCTACTTGTACATAATGTGATGTTCATAACGATGTTCACCCCCTCACATGGAGGGAGACCCACTTCGGATATATTATATTTTATTCGAAGTGAGTCACCCTCCATGTGAGGGGGTGAACACTGTTATAGACACTGCATTATGTACATGTAGCATCACCCATGTTTCATTGGTATATTACTTTTTTCACGTTGATTTACCAGTTTTAGTACTTCTTGGTTTTCTAGCTGGAGGTAGATCGTGAAAAGGAATTGCTTCGAGAGAACTCTGATTTACAGTGGAGGTATTTGTGGCTATATTTGCATACCATATAAAACAACCAGGGTTATCAAATTGAAATAGTTTTTAATTAGCTTATTTGATAGGCTTGCATGTGCCCAAGACAAGCTCCAAAAATATAAAACAGAGAACGGTCATGTCAACTCTTGATCAAATGTGGCTAGACCGAGTATCTACAGAGAATGCCAGTGGCATGTAGCTATAGCGCCGACAAAATCCTCACAAACTTGCAGTAAATGGTTTCAAGAGGAACAGAAGTTTAACATTTGCATGCTAGATTGAACATTAGAAGTCAACTTTCATGTGTACAGTTCATTTCTTTTTCAGAAGTTGATTATATCTTTTTATTGATCCATCAACATTATCTTATGAGAATCTATCACTTCATATAGTTTGTTTCTGAATTATGGGGTATTGTGATTCTTCTTTATTGATTTATATTGTTAATATGGCAAATTTAATCTTATTTCCGCGACGTCTTAAGGTCTATTTTCTCTGTCGTTTTCAGTTTTCGAAAATACAGAAAACACGTTTACTTACCTATTTTCAGAAACGAATTTCCAAAAACGAGTTTAAAATTTACAAAGAAAACAGAAGACGTCAAAAAAGTAGTTTTGACTGTTTTCATTTAAAATCAAGCCAAAATTTCATTTTTTTTAAAAAATTTTTGTAAAATGACAAAAAGAATGCATTTTCAGCAATCTCAAAATGGACATTCAAAATACAAAACTCAAAATAAATTCAAAACTAAAAACTAGAAATTGAAACACGAGTTTCCCATTTTCATTTTCTGAAACCACTTTGGTTTTCAACCTTCAGTTTCTGTGGCAACTGTGTAACTAGACATGGTTCCAAACTTGCAAAGTTAGACCATCTATCCTAATTAAATAAAAAAAAAAAAATTAGACATTTTCTCCTATGTTGCCAATTGCATGAGTCCAGCATTCAGTTCTCGCCGCATCCACTCTCTGTCTCAAAATTGAAGGTTGTTCAATTTTTATTTTTGACCGAAGATGAAGGAGCACTCTGATCAAACAGTGCTACATGATATAGTTTGCAAGGTTATTATGAATATCTACAATTGGTGGATATATTTATCAGTTGATTTAACCTTTGGAGTGCTTAATTATTGTAATAAATAATAATGTTCTCAATCCATTCAAGAGGTGAAGGGCAGAGGCCTTCATTGTCCTCTTTAATCAAGAATTTGACCTTACTCGAATGGCAGAAATTCTGAAATTCACAATATTCTCTTGCTTGATCCATGGTATAGATGTTTAAATAATGTTCTTTTTTTTTTTGCTTTTTGAATGGTTAAGAATTTATCAGTCTCTCAATAATTTTCCAATTTTCTTCTTTATGACAACCCATTTAATTAGCAAATATGCTCATTTTCCACCACATTTTCTTGTTTTTTGACCAGACAACCTTCCTCTAAATAGGGTGATCTGAGCTTGTTCCTACAAACCATCGACATTTTTGGTCCATTCATTTGGATATAAATTTCACACTTTCCTTCCACTTTCAGCATCAGATATTAGAACTACATAATAAATTGTAAAAATGAGTGCTAAAATTACTTTCTTGTTTTCTTTAGCTTTTTTCCTTCTATTCTGCGAAGCCAACGCCACTAACATTACCAAACTGTTGAACCAGTATCCAGACTTCAGCAGTTTCAACGACTACCTAACGAAAACCGGACTAGCCACTGATATCAGCTCGCGCCAAACGATCACGGTCCTTGTTGTAGACAACGGCAACATTTCCCTGTTATCGGGGAAATCGGATGCTGCCATCAAGAAGATCTTGAGTGTTCATGTGATTCTTGATTATTATGACGTGAAAAAATTCGAAAACTTACCTAATAAGACGGCACTTGTTACTACACTCTACCAATCCAGTGGCCAGGCCACTGGTCAACAGGGATTTCTCAATGTGACAGATGTGAGTAGTGGAAGTGTTGCCATTGGTTCAGCAGAAAAGGGTGCATCTTTAGGGGCTAATTTAGTTAAGTCTATTGCTTCACAGCCATATAATGTATCAGTATTACAAATAAGTACTGTTATCATCCCATTGGGAATTGACAACACAACCTCAAAGAATTCGACTTCTCCTTCGCCTGCTTCTAGCCCGAAGAAGTCTCCGAGTCCTAAGAAATCTCCCCCAAGCGATTCTCCATCACCCTCCAAATCCCCCGGTTCACCTCCTGTGCCTTCTGATGCACCGGTTGCAGATTCACCAGCACACGATTCCCCTAGTGAAGGCACGACTCTCCAGCTTAGTCTGTTTGTCATGTTTATAATAGTATCTTCAACTCTATGGCTCATATCGACTATATGAACAAGCACTACCGATAAGTTATTCCAAAGTTTTGCTTTTTGTTTTGGTATTAACATTTTCATTAGATCGATGGATAGTTCTCGATTTTAATGATGAGATAAGTTGTATCAGATTTCACTCTTTTCAATGGCATTTCCAATTCTAAATTTCTCTCAATTTCTTTTCATATAATTAATTTTTTGCCTCTCCGTTCAGATCCATAGCTTTTTTATAATCTATCTCTGGAGGACTAATCATTGTTCCGTCAATGTATTACTCCAGTCCCCTTTTGCATTTCTACAGCTCTCTGCTGATACAAATTTAGTACACAGCACTCAACATTATATAACAAAAAACGATAGCATTTCGCAATATTGTACCAACAGAATTATAAAAACAGGATCAACAAAAGCAGGGAAAAAAAAAGAAAAAGATCATAAAAGGAGTTATATAACATCAGAAAAGAGGTATTACACTGGACAAGCTCAATAATTATATAATTATTAATAGTGATGGTCCAATAGTTATATAATTACTTAAATGAGCTAGAATAGCATATAAAGTATACATTATAAATTACTTCAATGAGATAGAACTAATAATATCGAAAAAATATATATATGGTTTGATTAATTTTTATATTTCTTCGGGTTACTAAATGTGGCTAGAATCTTTCGTATATTTGGATAAAGCGGGAAATTCATGCATATCATCGTCTCAAAAGGGAATGAATAGAAAAAATAGCACGTCGTATCATTACAAAATCCTGTTCGAATTCTTGTAAATGATCAAAAGGCGGACCCAGGAATATTCTTCCGGGGGGGGGGACATAATGACTAAAAAATAATTTTAAACAATGAAGATAATATTCAAAATGAAAAACAATTTTTTTACAATTGTTCCTTACGACTTTTCATACTTTGAAAACACTGTATAATAGTCTCATTAGTAATTTCATTAAATACATTTTTTTCAACGTACACAGCTAAACTACCATTCATCCATTGGTCTCCAATCTGATTACGAAGTCGATTTTTCACAATATTCATAGCAGAAAATGCTCTTTCAACTGTAGCAGTAGCAACCGGAAGAATTAATCCTAAAGTCACAAGCATGTAAACTAACGGATACACTTTATTTCTTTTGGTCACAACCAACTTCAATGCAAGTTCACTAAGTCCCTTCATTTCTCCAAACTCCTTGTTAGAGCGCATATCAACAATATAGTTTCGAAGCTGATCATCAAGTGCCATGAGATCTACTTTTGAAAAATTTTTAGGATAATACTTAGCAAAATGTATTAATTTATCCTTGTCAAAAGTAGAGAATGAATCATCGGGGCATAAATATGCTAAACAAATGAGTAACTCTATAATTACCTCAGAAAAATGATCATTCAATTCTTGAAATTGCATATCAATGACAGAATAATATAAATCTACACGGAAGCGATGAAAATTTGTCATTTCTTCAGTATTACGCCTTGAATGACCTGGGCATACAAACACACTATCCATATCAGGAATATCAATATTATGCTTTTCACAAAAAGAAATGACTTCATCCAAAAAAGAATCCCACGCATTGTCCCTCATCTCTTGGAGTCTCTGTTTGCATACTGACACTAAACTCGTGGCATTTATAATATCCTGATATTTTCTTTGTAATGCCTTAGACAATTCATTTGAAATCCCTAAGATGGTTCTCATGAGATGTAAATTAAACACAAACTCAAAGGACTGCATTGAGTCCAATAAATTATCAGCCTCACATCTTTGCTCACGTGTTGATCCATCAACTGAAATCATTTCAATGACATCAATTATAGGTGAGATCATCAAAATCAAACTAATCAAAGTACGATAATGCGATCCCCAACGTGTCTCACCAAAACGCACAATAGTACTTTGTTGATTAAGACCCCGTCCACTTGAAATGTCACAATTACTGAGTGCTTCAGAAATTATGGCTTCGTGTTTCTTTCGAAGAATATCACAACGTTTAGAAGAAGCTCCAACAATATTCACCACGCTAGAAACCAAATTAAAGAGTGACTGGACCTTCTTGTTCTTTTTTGCTATGGCTACAAGAGCTAATTGTAGTTGATGAGCAAAACAATGAATATAAAATGCACTTGGATTCTCTTTCAAAATAAGTGTTTTGAGACCATTGAACTCGCCTTGCATATTACTCGTCCCATCATAACCTTGACCTCTCAATCTAGATATACTCAATCCATATCTTGAAAATAATTTATCTATAGCCGCTTTGAGTGATAGAGCTGTAGTACTGGAAACATGTT